ACTAACAACATCGTACGGCAATTATCTTCCAAATAAAAGTTTTTTTTAAAAAATAAAAAAAATATCTGACCTGGTCCTCTACAGAAGAGTTTGTGAGCCTGACACCCATACCTGGAGCAGAGCTGAAGCTCTTTAAAGTGCTCCGCCCCCCATGTGTAATCAACAAGACAAACACTTATAGGGTACAGCTGGGTCTCGCTGTCTAAGTGCTCACTGAATTCCTCAACTCAAGGGCAGAGGCACTTTCTTTAATTCCATATGCAGGGTTTGATGATGGAGGCAGTAGGGTCTCTCTTGGGAAAGTTATTTTGTACAGCTTGAGGCCCGCACATAAGCAGGTGGAGGAATCTGGCCTGCATGCCGGGTTTCATGGGCCCCTGGGTGGGTGTATCAGTGGCTAAATAGCTGTGAGTGAGTGTGTGGAATGTTCCAGAATATCAGTTATGTGTTATCATCATTATTGTACCTCTGCTGTTGCCTCCACCCCCCACCCCCATAAAAGTTTGCAGCCTGGATGCTTTTTGACTTGCCACCCTGTCGTTCAGGACCCAGCACACACAGCATGCTCAGCAAGTACACAGATGTTAACTATTATTATTGGAGAGAAAGGGAGGAAGGACACATGGGAAAATGCGGGGCAGTGAAGCAGGCTGACCAATGACCCCAGTGAAACTGCAGATGACACCACCCATTACTTTGCCTCTTGGCAGACACTCCCTAACATCAGAAAGTCACCAGGAGACCCTGGTAAAAGGAGAAGGGTGGGCACTGGGGTTAGCATTTGCCAGAGAGAGTTTATACATCATTATTACTTTGTAGATGAGGAAATTAGGCACAGAGGAGCTAGTTATGGGAAAGTTTCACAACTATCAAGTGATAAAAGCAGGGTATGAGCTCACTGTAAGGTCTGTGATTTTAATTAAAAATTTTAAAAGAAGGGAATTCCCTGGCAGTCCAGTGGCTGGGACTTCAAGCTTTCACTGCCAAGGGTGCAGGTACAAGCCCTGGTTAGGGAAATGCGATCTCACAAGCTGCGCAGGCAACCAAAAAAAAGTCTTACATCACAAAACAGATGTAAGGGAGTCAGAACTAAGTTCTGATCCCATCCCCCACCCCCAGTGGCTACTTTATGCATTTTGAAAGCTAAGTAGTCAATTCCTGCCCCTAAATTTTCTTTCTGTTTCGTTTTTGTTAGTGGTGGTGATGATGGTGCTGCCCCAGCATTACTGGTAACTTCAAAACATGCCTAACCTGCCTACTTGGTATCCTGATGTGCGCGTGTGTGCACACATGCGTGCTAAGTCACTTCAGTCGTGTCCGATTCTTTATGATCCTATGGACCATAACCCGCCAGGCTCCTCTGTCCATGGGATTCTCCAGGCAAGAATACTAGAGTGGGTTGCCATTTCCTTCCCGAGGGGACTTTTCTGACCCAGGGAGCCAACCCAAGTTTCTTACGTCTCCTGCATTGGCAGGCAAGTTTTTTACTGCGAGCGCCAGCTGGGAAGCCCCGACATCACACCCCCAAAGTGCGCATGTCAACCCCATCATCATCATTATTTGACAGACGAGGAAACTGAGGCCCAGACAGGTGAGCATCCTGCCCAGGGTGAAGTGAAGGCCACCCTGGCCTGAGACTTTGGCCACGACATCAGCCCACAGGGTGCAGCCAGGGACAGGATTAAAGGGGACGAGGAGGAGGAGGAGGAGGAGGAGGAGGGTTTGGCTCCAACCCCACTCCCTCCGGCCCAGGACACCTGCCAGAGGTAGACAAAGCACACGATTATCCAGATGAGCGGCAGCCACAGCCCGTTGAGGTAGGTGACGCTCTCGGTCAGCCGCTGCACGTCCACAGACACCAGGTTGACCACGTCCCCCACTGCGCTGGACTTTCTGGAGCTGCTGGACAGAGCCAGGACCTGGGAGGGGCGGGCAGATGGAGACCTGAGTCGGAGGGAAGCGGGGGTGGTGAGCAGGCAGGGATGCCTGTGGAGGCAGGGAGACCCGGGGAGGAAGGGAAGTGCTAGGAGGGAGGGAGGGAGGCCGACAGCTTGGACCGAGCAAGAGCACAGCCACCCGGCAGGCTGGGGTCTGCGCTCTGCTGCCCCTGCTGGCTGAGGCAGGCTTCTTTACCATCTGAGCCTCAGCTTACCCATCTGTAAAGTGGGCTAATAAAAGCTCCTAAGCCCTACTCCCAGGGCCACTGTAAGAATCCAGGGAGAAAACAAAAATGAAAATACTGTGAAATCCCTAAAGTACTGGAAACAATAACACACTCTACCAAAACCTCGGATTTATGATGATAATGGCAGCCATCTGCTGGGCGCTACGTTCTGGCTGTGCTGTTCTGTGCCCAGTCACTCAGGCTCAGTCATGTCCGACCCTTTTGTGACCTTACGGAATGTAGCCCTGTGTAGCCCTATGGAACGTAGCCCACCATGCTCCTNTGATTAAAAGAGGAAAGAAAAAGTGAAACTAGAATCAATGAGATGGATAATTATTAATCTCATTTCACAGACAAGGAAACTGAGGCACAGAGAAATTGACCAACTTTCCCAAAATCAGAGGTCTGGATTGGAATCCAGGATAACAGAGGCTAGACAGAGTGTTAGACTGATCCTCCCAGGCATTCAACGTGCCTTGTAGAAACTAACCTGGTTTTCTAACAGACACAAATTTGCCCTGATTCTGGAGTCACAGTGGACCCCTTCCAGCCTGTTGAATACTACATTCTACTTGCAATCCTCTCTGCTGGGTGTGTCAGGGAAGAAGTGAGGGTGAAATGATGAGCTGGAAACAACCAACTATAGAAATTCTCCAAAAAAATCTTCAAATCTTTACTGAGCACCTGCTCTGGGCCTCACTCTGAGTTCTACGGTCAACAGAGGCAAGGTGCTTGATCTCCTGGGAGCGGAGTTTGAGCTGGGGAACAAAATTAAAGATTTACACGGTTCATCGTTTAATAGTAATTATGATGAGTGCCATAAAGTGTTTTAAAATATAGGTTTTATTATTATTTAAGTATGGCAAGCCCACAGACCAGAGAAGACGCTATTGACAAGAGGGTTTATTACACTCAACTATCTCAATAGAAAGGGGTATTCTAGACTATGGGGGGGGGAGCCATTTGTGGAAGCACTGTGGTGGGGCAGGGTGGGATGAACCATAGGCAAGAGCTTGCTGTGGTTTTCATGGAAAAGTCAGACAGGGTCAGCAGGCTTAGTTTGAGTAATTCCAGCTGCTCTGGGCATAGGAACTGGGCCTCATTGTCTGATAAACCTGGCCCTGGGGTGATTAGGGCAGGGACAATGGCCAGAGGCTGAGGGCCCCAAAAGGAGGCGGCTGGAATGTGAGTCAGGGTCGGTTGGTTTGCATGTGAAAGGCATGCTTTCCGATGAGTCACTTACCATCTGGAGGAACTGGCTGACCTCGGAGGGGACAGAGGGACAGTCCCTCCAGGGTCAGCAAGGCCCCAGATGTCAAAGCACCAGACACAGAAAATAAGGAAGCACGGCTGGACTTCCCTGGTGGTCCCGTGGTTAAAAAAATCCACCTGCCAACGGAGGGGATATGGGTTTGATCCCTGGTTGGGGAGGATCCACATGCCTCGGGGAACTAAGCCCATGAGCCACAACTACAGAGCCTGCTCACTACAGTCCACGCCCCATGACAAGAGAAGCCATCACAATGAGGAGCGCAAACCCCGCAACTAGGGAGTAGCCCCTGCTCGCCGCAACTGGACAAAGCCCGAGCACAGCAAAAAGACCCAGTGCTGCCAAAAGTAAATAAATACATTTTAAACCAGGTTAATGCAGAAGCAGCCCAGAGGGCAGACTGGGCGGTCTGACCCATCAAGAGATGAAGAGGCTGCCCTGAAATTCTCCAAAAAACGGGAAGAGCAAAGCCCTTAGGCTGCCTTCCCGCAGCCTCAGCTCCACGTGTGGACTCACAAGACGGGACAGGCCACACCCAGCCCCAGCGAGCCACGTGGTCGGAAACTCAGGAGCCACTCACACGGCCACCCTGGGGCTGTACCCTTTGCTCCCCTCCTCTCCAAGGTGACAGCTCAGGTGTGAGAAAGGGACTCAGTGGGGGACTGGGTCGCCCTGGCTCAGAGGCTGCAGACCCAGAGGGGCCAACATGTCTTACAGCAGCAGCCTCACGGGCTTCGTTTCCAAGAACGGTCACACAGAGAGAAGCCCAAAGCGCTGGCTTCCCTCCAGGTGTCACAGTTCACTGACAGAGCTTCCAGCCCAGATTCCATTTTCCCAGTGGCTCAGGGGTCATTTCAACTGTAAGCAGTGTTACCTGGTAAAATAGCTGACAGTCTACCTTTATCTGGTTTCCACACAGCCCAAAGGTTAGTCCTTTATCCACAGAGAGACGGGCGGAAGTTCACTGCATGAAGAATTGTGGAAAGGGTGCCCAGGCAGTGGGAACCACACGCGCAAAGGCCCTGAGGTAGGAGGATGCTTGAGGAACTGAAAGGAGACTGGTGAGGCTAGAGGAAAGGGAAGGAGGTGTGAAGGAAGCATGTGATGTAATCAGACAGAAGAGGTCTCAGGGTCAGATCACGCAAGGTCTTACAGAAACAACCAAGAAGGTGAGAGTGCAGTGTGAACAACTATGAGAAAAGTGATGAATGAGTGTGCCTGGGGGCTCAGATGAGAGTGACGGTTCAGTGACTTGGCTCTCCTTGGCTGGGATGTCTGTGTGCAAACCGGGACAGGGAGGAAAGAGAGGAAAGGCCCCGCCCCGCCCCCGGGGCTCACCTTTCTGTACACCAGCCCAGTGATGGCCGTCCGCAGCCTCATCTGCAGCACCTTGAGTCTGTACATGTGCTGCTGCTCGAACAGTGTTTGCAGGCAGGCGGAGAGGAACATCAGCACGGCGAGGAGATAGCCCTTCCAGGCCGGGGTGCTGGGGTCCCCGATAAACTCCAGGAAGAGGCTTGCAGGAGGAGAGGGAGGGAGAAGTCGGTGAGAGAGGGTGCCTATGACTACTGCCTCTGCCTAAGCCTGGCCAGGTCTGGAGGACCAGATAGTATGGGAGGGTCTTTTGTTTTTGCAGAAGCGGTTGCAAGTATTTCTCCCACTGTCCACGCTCATTTCCAACATGACTTACATCTCCAATCAACAGGCGGAGTTTTTATCCTTACCTGTTATGGCTGAGTTGTGTCCCCCAAAAATGTATATGTTAAGGTCCTAACCCCCAACGCCTTGGAATATGACCGTGCATTTGACGACAGGGCCCTTAAAGAGGCAATTCAGTTCAAACGAGGCCGTTGGGGGGGCCTGAATCCAGGACAACTGGTGTCCTTAGAAGAAGAGGAAATCTGGACACACAAGGAGACACCGGGGGTGTGTGTGTTCCGAGGAAGGACCGCGTGAGGATGCAGAGAGAAGGCAGCTGTTTTCAAGGCAAGGAGAGAGGCCTCAGGGGAAACAACTTGATCTTGAACTTCTAGCTTTGGTGATGTGAAGACAAAAATGTCTGTTGTTTAAATGGGACCTAATTGAATTTAGAAGCTTTTGTACAGCAAAGGAAGCCAAAAATGAAGAGACAACCTCCAGACAGGGGGGAAATATCTGCAAACGATGTGACCAACAAAGGATTCATCTCCAGAATACACAAACAGCTCCCACAGTTCAATATCAACAAAAAAAAATAACCCAAATAAAAATGGACAGAAGATCTAAATAGACATTTCTCCAAAGAGGACACATAGATGGTCAAAATGCACATGAAAAGATGTTCAGCTTTGCTAATTATTAGAGAAATGCAAATCAAAACTACGATGAGGGATCACTCCACACTGGTTAGACTTTGTTGTTCAGTCACTAAGTCATGTCCAGTTCTGTGCGACCCTATGGACTGTACCACGCCAGGCTTCCCTGTCCATCACCATCTCCCGGAGCTTGCTCATACTCAAGTCCATTGAGTTGGTGATGCCATTCAACCATCTCATCCTTTGGTCAGAATGGCCATCACCAAAATGTCTACAAACAATAAATGCTGGAGAGGGTATGAAGAGAAAGAGATCCCTCCTACACTGCTACTGGGAATGTAAATTGGTGTAGCCACTATAGAGAACAGTATGTGAGGGGGTAGGAATGTGACTGAAAGTTGCTCAGTCAAGTCTGACTATTTGTGGCCCCATGGACTATACAGTGCATGGAATTCTCCAGGTCAGAATACTGGAGTGGGTAGCCTTTCCCTTCTCCAGGGGATCTTCCCAACCCAGGGATCAAACCCAGGTCTCCCGCATTGCAGGTGGATTCTTTACCAGCTGAGCTACAAGGGAAGCCCAAGAATACTGGAGTGGGTAGCCTATCCCTTCTTCAGGGGAAGCAAACAGTATGGAAGTTCCTTAAAACTACTATATGATCCTGCAATCCCACTCTGGGTATATCCAGAGAAAATTATAATTCAAAAAGATGTGTGTGCGTGCATTCAGTTGCTCAGTCTTGTCTGACTCTTTGAGGCACCATGGACTGTAGCCCACCAGGCTCTTCTGTACATGGAATTTTCCAAGCAAGAATACTGGAGCTGGGTACCATTTCCTACTCCTGGGGATTCTCCCAACCCAGGGATTGAACCCTCATCTCTTGCGTCTCCTGCCTTGGCAGGATGATTGTTTACAGCTAACACCATCCAAAAATATACATGTACCCTAATGTTCATTGCACTATTCACAATAGTTAAGATGTGGAAGCATGTTCATTGCACTATTCACAATAGTTAAGATGTGGAAGCAACCTAGGGTCCAACAGATGAACACATAAAACAGATGGATACTACTCAGCCATAAAAAAGAATGAAATAATGCCATTTGCAGCAACATGGATGGACCTAGAGACTATCACACAGTGAAGTGAGTCGGAGACAAATGTATGATATCACTTATATGTGGAATCTAAAAAAAAATCATGCAAATGAACTCACAAAACAGTAACAGACTCACAGACGTAGAAAACAAACTCAAAGTTACCGAGGGGGAGGGATAAATTAAGAGTTGGGGATTATCAGTTAGACACTAACTATTATAAAATAATAATAGCCAACAAGGATCCACTGTAAGAATAGGGAACTATGCTCAATAGTTTGTAATAACCTATAAGGAAAAAGAATCTGCTGAAACGGAATCACTTAGCTGTATATTTGAAACACAGCATTATAAATCAATTAAACTTCAATTTTACAGAAAAGAAAAGAAAGAAATGACAGTAGAAAAGATAAGCACCGGAAAAAGGATTTCTGTTCAAGACACCCAGTCTGTAGTCCTTGGCTACGGCAGCTTGAGCAAAGTAACAGGCCACCCCTTGAATCTGGGCTGAATAACTGGCTCCGGCTTCAAGAGAAAAGGCAGCTCTTGCATTGTCTTGAGTCCCTGGCAAGTAACCCCGTGAATAAGCTGGAAATCAGCCCTTTGAGGGTGACAGACCAGGGGGGGAGAGACAAGCCGTCCCAGCTGGGACCACCTCGGGGACTGCAGACACAAGACTGAACCCGCCAAGGAAAGAACCACCCAGCTGAGCCCAGCATGAACTGATGCCCCACACCATCACAAGCTAAGGAAGTGGTTTGAAGCCCCTCGCTTTGGGAGATCTTTGTGGTACAGTGAAAGCAAAGTGATGCAGTCAGGCCAAATTCATTTGTTTTCCCTCCCCAAGGGAAAGGGGAGTCACTTTTTCATTTATTTCTGTTCTTCCTCAGTGCCCTTTTCATCCACCCTCGGTGCCTTGAGCGCCAGAGGTCTAGGCAGGGGCGGAAGGAGGGTTGAAGCCCTCCAGGCCCTGGAAGGACACCGTTCAGGGACCACCAGCCTCAAGAAGGCACCCAAGGCCTGGACCCACCTGAGGAGCTTGGGCACCGTGAACCTGAAGACGTCACTGACGATGAGGCTGAGGGTCCCCAGGAGGAAGGTGGAGCGGCCCACCTGCCAGATGGCCCGCAGCAGCGGGCCCCTCTTCCCCCGCTGTTGCTGCAAGAGGGTCTCCGTCTCTGGGGCCTCCTTGTTACTGCTTCCTTTCCTTTTAAATGCAGTCGTCTTGGTGTGCCTTAGGGGAGAGAAGACATCAGCTCTGGGCCCTTATAATAGACTGAAGGTTTATGTCCCCACCCCTGTCCCGCCCACCACCCAAATTCATGTTGAATCTAATTCCCAGTGTGATAGTATTAGGAGGTGAGACCTTTGGGAGGTGATTAGGTCATGTGGGTGCAGCCCTCATGAATGGCATTAGTGACCTTAAGAAAAAGACTCCAAAAAACTTCCTCGGGTGTTACCCCATTTTACAGATGAGGAAACTGAGGCTCAGAAGGTAAAGCTGGGGAAGGATACACAGCTGCGAAATGAAAGGGCTAGGATTCAATCCCAACCTTCAGAGCACTTTTTGATCCCTTAGGCAGCCCACCCCAGCCAGCCCTGAGGTGGTTCAGAACTGGTTGAGGACCAGTTTAGAATCATTGCTGAGGTCTGAGCCTGGCAGCCCTGGTCTGAATGAAACCACAGATGGAAGCTCTGGCAGCTGTGACGTCTAAGATCCCAGGCCTTGGGTTGTCAGGGGAAGGTACGGGGGAAGAAGTGACAGGAGGAGGGGGAAGCCCGCGGGCCCTTCCAGAGGCAGGCTCTGGCCACAGGGAGAGCCTGGCAGCCATGCAGTTGCTGTGTGGCCTTGGGCAGGCTGCTCCCCTCTCTGTGCCTCTGTGTCCTCATGCAAAGATGGAGCTGGCCCCCTCCGAGTCCCTTCCAGCTCTGACAGCCTATGAGGTTATCAGAGCTTCAGTGGTGCTGACAGCAGGGACCCAGGGCCAGGCTCTGGGATCAGTCCTTCACGCAGGTGAGCTCATCGGCTCCTCTCAACCTCCCTGCCCCCTGGGTGTCACAGGGTCCCCATCTGGCCCTGGAGGAGACTGAGGCTCTGAGAGGTGGTGAGGCTCCAGGTGTGCCTGAGGTCACACGTGGAGGACAGAGCAGGGATTTGAGCGTAGAATTTTTTTTTAAGATTTTTTTTATGTAGATAATTTTTAAAGTCTTTATTGAATTTGTTACAACACTGTTTCTGTTTCATGTTTTGTTCTTTTGGCTGAGGCACCTGGAATCTTAGCTCCCTGGGCAGGGATTGAACCTGCATCCTCTACACTAGAAGGTGGGAGTCTTAACCACTGGGCCACCACGGAAGTCCTGAGCCCAGACCTTGAGTCATGATTCACACAGAGCCTGCTCCCTCACTCAAAAAGTAAAATGAAAAAACCCCCTTGATGAGTGCAGGTACCCAATCCCTCGCGAACGAAGTCAAGGTCTTGCCCCTCACCCCGTGGTCCGGCTTGTGGTTTAGCTTGGCATCTCTGGTGAGCTATGGCTTGGCCTCCATCATGAGCTGGGCATGGCCTGCCACTCACATTTGGATATTTGGGTCTTGAATGCCAAAAGGATACTACCTTCTTATAAAGGCCACCCCTGCCCACCGCTGCCCACCGGATGGAATCCTTTCATTCATCATCTTCAGAGCCATGCTGTCTCCAACTCCTTTTCTCATCTGTCTTGTTAAGACTCCAAGTGGGTCGACTAATTATTTTTCTTGCATAAAATCCTTCAACGATTTAATGAAGAGTCTCCATTTCTAGACAGTCTGTGTGGCCCGGCCCCCGCCCTCTTCCCCACTTCATCCTGATCCTCTTTCCTGGGCTTGCCCTGGTTTTCCTTCCGCTCCTTGACATACCCACAGTTCACCTGTCTCAGGCCTTGGCACAAACTACCTTTGATCTAGAATGTCTTTGCCCAGCTCTTTCCAAGGCTTGACTTCCTTTCAGCATCACTGCCTCAAAGACACTTTTCCTGCTGGTTCCAACTGCAGTAGCTCTGTTTCCCCATCCCTGACCCTTATTTTTGTCCCAGCACTGGCTTCAATTTCTAAGTATCCGTCTTCTCCACCAAAAAATCAGCTTTCTGGAAAGAGAGGCCTCAGCTGTCTTGTGTATGGCTGGCAAACAGGGTCTGGCTGCCAGGCCCTCAGTCAAGCACCCATGGCCTGGGAATGGACTGACTTCTCCAGATTTCCTCCTGACACTGGACTTAACCCGCTGTTTGCTTTTACTAGAACTGTGCAACTAGTCCCCTGGCCCGGTTCTAACAGAGCCGAGTTTCCAGTTGTCCTGCAGAGCAAACGGCCCAGCCCTCCTCCACGGGAGTGAGTTTAAGGATCAGTGGCGTGCCTGGGCCTCTTCCTTCAGAGAGATGACTTGAGACATCCCTGTTCCCTGGCCCCTCAACGTCAGCCTTTATACTCCCAGAGCCCAGCTAATGGGGTGAATACCCCTCCACCACAAGCTGGGCCTCCAGTCCCCCCTTCCCCTCTCAAGAATCTTCTGAGCATCTCCTCAGGATGAAAAGTGTGAAAGTGTTAGTCGCTCAGTTGTGGCCACAGTCCACGGACTGTGGCTCGCCAGACTCCTCTGTCCATGGGATTCTCCAGCCAAGAATACTGGGGTGGGTAGCCATTCCCTTCTCCAGGGGATCTTCCTGACCTGGGTATAGAACCCAGGTCTCTTGCATAGCAGGCAGATTCTTTACTATTTGAGCCACCAGGGAAGCCCCCCTCAGGATGAAGGGGAAGGGCAAATCTTAACTAGCAGTCCTAGGACAACTTGGTATTTTTAGCACAAAAGGCTACAATGAGCCAGTCATTACCACCCTGCTTGCAAAGAAATAAACAAATGTTAGTTTACTACCTGTCTTGAAGCCTACCCCTATCCCCAGCCTCTGAGGCCAGCAGGACTGCCTTCCAGTATTTCTAATTCAGCCATTTTTCTAACCCTGCACTCATATCTCTACCTGGTCATCCCTGTAGCCCCAAGATGTTGCCTCTCCTTGGCCCTGGCCTGGGGTCAGGATGGATCAGAGACAAAGCTAGCACGGTGTCCACGCAGCATGCCTCTGTGTCAAACACTGGGAGCTGGTCCTGTGCCGCACACCCACTGGGGTGGGTAACCACTGACCCTTGGGTGGGTGAGCACCAACCAGGGCCACCTCCGCCTCCAGCCCCGCCCACAGTGGTACCCAGGTGTGTAGAGTTTTTGCTTATACTTTCTTTTTACCTGTATTTCCCCCAAACCTAGTTCAGCATCTGCATGGAATACGTGCTCAGTAAATACCTGGCAAGTGAATGGGAAAAAGCAGAAAGAATGATGTGTGCAAAGGGCCTGCTGCATGATGGTATTAAAGATTTGTGATTCAAGGAAGAAAGGGAGGGAGGGAGGGAGGAAGGAAGGAAATGATTTGGTTTGGTTGACAGAACCTGGCCTTGGAGCCAGGAAACTGAGGTCCAACTTGCCTGGCCTGTCCCCTTCCCTCTGTGCCTCAGTGTTCCCATCAGTAAAATAACTGAAGGGATGACCAGGAAAGGAATGCAGGAGACCCGGGTTCGATCCCTGGGTCGGGAAGATCCCCTGGAGGAAGGCATGGCAACCCACTCCAGTATTCCTGCCTGGAGAATCCCACGGACAGAGGAGCCTGGCGGGCTGCAGCCCCTGGGGTCCCAAAGAGTCGGACACGACTGAGTGACTTAGCACGACAGTGGGATGTTTTTCTCAGTCTGTGCCAGCTGCTCACCCCAGAGTTATGTCACTGCACCTGCAGGCTCGGGAGCCAGCTTCTTCCTTTCCAACCAGTCTTACTTTCCACCAGGGAAGGTCTCCAGACTTGATGTGTGTGTGTTAGTTGCTCAGTCATGTCCAGCTCTTTGCAACCCCATGGACTGTGGCCCACTAGCCTCCTCTGTCCATGGGATTTTCCAGGCAAGAATACTAGAGAGGGTTGCCATGCCCTCCTTCAGAGGATCTTCCCAACCCTGGGATCAAACCCAGGTCTCTTGCAATGCAGGCAGATTCTTTACTGTCTGAGCCACCAGGGAAACCACGAGACTTGCTGGCTGGTCTTTGGTGTCTGGTCCCAAAGCCATTTCGTGCCTGATCCAAAAATGACCACAGAGCAAGGCGGGGAGTGTGAGGCCAGGGGTAAGCTGGGGGATGTAAAAGGGAGTGGTAGAGACTGGCAAACTTAAGCGCATGTGCCCTGTTCCACAGGGCAACCACTTCCCAGATCCACCGTCCCGTTGTCATGAGGGCTGTGACCTAGCACTGCCATTCTACTTTAAGAGACACCCAAATTCCCTATTTTTGTGACATCACCAACAACTCAAATGTTGGCAACTTACAAAAAAAAAAAAAAAAAGCAAAAAACACAAACCTCAAACAGCAGCAAGACACATGCTGGCCAAACACACCTATGACCCTGACTTGGCCCACAGACAAATTGGTCTGTGACCTCTTAAGATGACGTCCTCACCCTTCCCGCAAAGGTTGCAACATATTTTAGAAACAAAACCAAAGTTCTCTCCTGTGTATAAGCAGTGAGCTCAGAAATGCCTGAGCCAGATCTCTTTATAACCCTGCCACTCTGCTTTCTTACTGTCAGTTGTTCACAGATTCTCAAACCGTTCTGGAGAATGTTTCTACTGCAGCTCTAATACTGGGTGACTGTATTACGCTGGCAGGGGAGGGCAGAGCTGGGACAGGGTGGGCAAGACCTCCAGGGCGAACTCAAAACTCATTTAAGAGTGGAGGGGCAGTACAGCAAGAAATGCCTGAGGTGAGAGAGAGCTGCCTTTTCGATTTGCTCATATCCCTTTTGGAAATCATACACCCTTCCTTCTGGGAGCAGCCCCTCCCCTCCCTGTCGCTCTAAAGGGATTGCCAATCATCAGGCCTGCCCTCCAGCCATGGGATTGGCCCCTGAGAGGCACATGACTCAGCCAGCCAATCAGAGTCCTTCCTTGAGATTTTTTTTTTTTTTTTTTTTTTTTTAGGTGGATGGTGGGGAGGAGGGTGTTGAATTGGCATAGTATGGGACAGGCCTTATGGCGAGACCAGTGTTGGGTCAACAGCTGAGCTTAGAGATGTAGGGAAAGAATTGAACATCAGGCAAGTTCTGAATCTAGCTACGCCTGAGGCCAAACCCACCTTCTCAACTATGTGAGCCAGTAGATTCTCTCTGGCTTCTTCTAACGTGTGGGATTTAGCCATCGATAACAATTACCACGAAGTCCTAGAGTATGCAAGGGAACCTTGTCAGTCCTGCCACAGAGCTACTTTTGTCTGTGCCCTGAAACATCAAGCTCCAGTGAGGTCAAGCGACTTGTCCAAGGTCATCCACCACTCGACGGCAGGGTTACATTTAACCCAGGCTTAATAATGCCTATTTGAGAACTTATTTCTCAGGGACTGTGGCCCTGCCGCCCAGAGTAGGCGCGGGGCTGTTTGTGGGACCAAGGGCTTTGCTGACCAGCTTCGGGCTAAGCGCCCACCTTCCACACACTCACCGCGGGGTGGCGCTGCGGTTCCTTGTCCATTCCTTTTCAAGCTGGGAAACCAGTTGTTCTGAGGAGTTTTCGCTCCCAAGTGACCAGAGGTCTTTTGGCCCCAGTGGCCTCCGGTAGCCCTTCCAGACCAACCTGTGAAAGAGGGTCATCACAGCCAGCCCTTCCCGCATCCACCTTCGCAGGGCCCTGGTTTGGTAGCTGTGTGATCCCAGGTGAGTTGTTCACCTCTCTGCACCTCCGCTGGCCCCTCGGTACAAGGAAAGCGATTTATCTAACTGCACTCACAGTGGTAGGCGCTTCCCAGTCTACAAAGATCATCTCATTCAATTCTCACATGAGCCTATATGATAGATTACTATCAACCCATTTTACACATGAGGAAGAAAACAGAGGCTTAGCGAGATTAAGTGACGTAACCAAGGGGTAACCTGTAACAGGGGTAATAAGCCTCCCTAGGAGTCAGAAGTCCAGAGTCAAAAACCATTACAGCAGAGGAAACTTGAACTTCTCCCCATTCTCCGCCTTGTTCACTGCTCCAGCCACCTGGCCTCAGGACCTTTGCACATGCATGTCCCTCTTTAAAACTCTTTCCCTGCTACTTCCCACTTGTCCTTCATCTCTGGCTTAGATGTGATTTCCTTAAAAGCCCACTTGATGACCCCCCACACCTGAGTCCAGGTAGATTCCCCCATTGCAAGATCTCTTAGTTTCCTGAGCTGTTTCTTTCTAATGCTTGCTGTGATTATCATTGTTTACTTTTTTTTGGCTCTGATTATTCATTTAGTCTTTCTCTTCCATTAGTGATAAGTTTCATGGAGACAAAGATTCTCCCTCTTCTATCATCACCTCCTAGCTCAGGGCATGTGTGTGCATGGGTGCTAAGTCACTTCAGTTGTGTTCGACTCTTTTGCAACCCCTGGACAGGCTCCCCTGTCCGTGGGATTTTCCAGGCAAGAATGCTGGATTGGGTTGCCATGCCCTTCTCCAGGGAATCTTCCTGACCCGGGGATCAAACCTGCGTCTCTTATGTCGCCTGCATTGGCAGGCGGGTTCTTTACCACTAGTGGGCTCTGGGCACAAGATCTGTCAAATAAAATCACCACTTTTCAGTGCTGTGACCTTGGGCAAGTCACTGCCCAGCAATGGACCTCAATTTTCTCACCTTAAAATGAGAATGTTTCCTTGTGCTTGGGACTAGTACATAAGATGACTGTAGTTGGTACACTGTTGAAGGAGGTCATTGAGAAGATGTAATCACTGTTGGACCTATGACCTGGACCCGGGCAATCTGAGGCTCCTCCCTCCCCTGTCCTTGGAACGTACGTTCTGCCCACTGTTCCCACATTAGGAGCTACTTTGAGAGTAAGTGTTAGATCACCTGGATGGTGTACGTGTCTGAACCCATTAAGGCTGCTCTGTAAACTATAGGGATTCCAGTGAGATGTACTTAGCTTGCAGGGCCCAAGACAAGCCTCGTATGTAAGGTCCGTGGCTTGTTGTTAGCCCTGCCTCCTTCCAGCCTGGAGTGGCTGCCTCTTTCTTCTGTCTCTCCTTGCCTTTGGCCGACTGAGGCCAGTTTTCAAATCAACATGTGTACACAAGAAATTAACTTCCTGGTGGTTAGGAATTTAGGAACCCACCTTCCAAGGCAGAAGGTATGAGTTTGATCCCTGGTCAGGGAACTAAGATCCCATATGCCTTGGGGCAACTAAGCCTGCAGGTCTTAAAGAAAAGAAATTAACTACTGCAGACTTCCATAGCAGGAATGGGTTTTTTTTGTTTGTTTGTTTTTTTCCCCTTTTAGTTCTCTCATCTTTCTTGTGACACCAAGAAGGTCTTGTTTGGAGCTGGTCTTGAGCTCCTTTTTGAGACTTTTCACGTTCCCTTTTCAAATATAGAGTAAACTCAGGCAAGCAACAGTTTGAATCCAGAAATTATTCATAATATTTGTTTTTCACTGAAACAACTCTTAGCATTCTATGTGGCAAGGGACTCTAGATTTTTGTGATCCTGGTAGTGATAAAAAGTTTCCCTTATAAAAGGTTAGTAAAGTAGAGAAAGGAGATGGAAATGGTAACCCACTCCAATATTCTTGCCTGGAGAATCTCATAGACAGAGGAGCCTGGTGGGCTACAGTCCATGGAGTCACAAAGAGTCAAACCAACTGAGTGACTAAGTACATACTCACAAAATAGAGAGAGCAAATTAATCTAAAGAAAAAACATTAAGTAAATTGAGTATAAGTGATACCCAAAAGGCAAAAAGCTTGAGGAATGGTCCACAAATGCCTGCATTTGGTAAACAGAGGGCTAGATCCTCTTCAGAGATGTTTAGCAAACTTCCAAGCTCTTTTCACCAATTCCATACCCTCGGAGTAGTCTTCATTGTTGTTGTTTAGTCGCTTAGTCATGTCTGACTCTTTGTGACCCCGTGGACTGTAGCCCGCCAGGCTCCTCTTGTCCGTGGGATTCTCCAGGCAAGAATACTGGAATGGGTTGCCATTCCCTTCTCCAGGGGATCCTCCCAGTTGAGGGACTGAACCTGTGTCTCCTGAACTGCGGGAAGATTCTTTACCATCTGAGACACCTGGGAAGCCCTCAGAGTAATCTATCCTTCATTTATTTAACAACCACTTTATATAAAACTTATTATGGGCCAGATTCTGTTCTAAGTGCTTCAGAAACCTCATTTCATTTAACCCTCAAAACCCTATGAGGTAGATGCTATTATGATCCTCATTTGACAAGTGCAGAGACGGAATCACAGAGAGGTTAAGTAGCTTGCCCAAGGTCACACAGCCAGGAAGTGGTGAAGACAGAATTCAAGTATGATCTGATGGCAGTGTGGTCAAGACAGGGTCCAGGAGGTAGGTACATCCTTCATGCCTGGTGTGCTGACGCTGGAGAAACATCTTCTCCACCAGCCTGGGAGCCTCTAGTGAGTCAAGATTTGGTCTTTGGCCTCCTCACCCTTGGTGCTTAGCAGATAGTAGGTGCTATTAAACACCTACTATGTTGGTGGAAGGACTAGATAGAGATATGATTTTATTGAGTGCCTTCTATATACAAGCACTAGCGCTTTACTTTAATGAAGGTAGAGATGTTCCCATTTTACAGAGGGGAAAACTGAGACTAAATGCTTGTGATGTGGCCAGCTAAGAGACAGAGCCAGGACTCCAATCTCACTCCCATGAGTGAGTGGCAGTGGGATGGGGATGGTGGACACACTAAAATCTCAGCACCCAGGCCAGGATGGAGAAAGCCTGGCTGACTTTGGTAGGCTTGGGGAAATCTCGGGAAAGAGCTATGGTTACAAATAAGAGCGGCACATGTAGGTGGGTGGGAGCACCAGCCCCAGCCCCTTCCCTGCTATTTTACTTACCTAGAAACCCACCAGAACATGGCCTTGGAGGGGAAGGAGGCCCCAGCCTTAGGACATGGATTCTGCAAAGACAAAAGATTTAGAAGTGGGAGGTCTTGGTCTCATACTCCATGGCCAGTATGTGGCAAGCAGAACTAAGGGCAGGAAGACAGAATGAATTGACAACCAGCTTAATACTGAAAACCAGACTGAGATGTACTGTATACTTAACCACAGTAGATACCAAAGGACTTGCTGCTTCCTAGCAGGCAAGGCAAAAAGGGGTTTGGTCACAGGACTGAAAGTGCCTAGGTAAGAACTAACAGTTGCTCAGAAGAACTTTATTAATACTGAGACCAAGAAATTTTCAAAGCAAGGACCATGCATGACACAAACAACAATGTTTTCAACAATATCCTTGAGTGAATGTGGCAAGGAGGTGAAGAAGAGGTGAGATTTTACTAGCGGCTCCAGGAAAACTGCACAAATTTATACTCTTCATCCAATAGAGGATGAGAATGCTCACTGCACCACATCTTTGCCCTCAGCGTGTGTTATCAATTTTAACTTTTTTCCTGCTACTTACTGGACAAAGTCCTATTACAGTTTTAACTTAATTATTCAAACTGTTGAGCATCTTTTTAGATGATCTCCACTCAACTGTCTTTTTCTCAGAGAATTCTTTCCAGATTTCACAGACTTATTCAGTGTTATCTGCTGTAAACTCTTATGGACCATGGACTTCTCCTGTGGAGCACTTCTATTGGGCAAGTACACTTTAATCCTGAATTTTTATGATGATGAGTTGTAATTTTCCACACATTTGTGTAATTGTGTGATTAATGGTTCCCCTATTGGGTGTTGGTCACATGAGGACAGAGACATCACTTTTTACCAAATATCCTTAGTACTGAGCTGGAGCACAGAATAGGTTGGCAAACTACAGCCCCCACGCCAAATCCGGCCCACTGCTTTTCTCTGCGAATAAAGTTTTATTGGAACACAGCCATGCTCCTTTGTTGACATATAGTCTGTCTGCTTTTTATAAAACCTATATCCGTAGCTGCCATACAGAGACCATATGGCCCACAAAGCCCAGACTATTTTCTATCTTGGACAGAAAGAGTTGGCCAACCTGTGGCATAGAGTTGATATGTAACACGCTTTGGGCTGAATGAATTAAAAAAAAAAATTAAAGGCCTGTGCTTTAACTTCCTTCCATCACTTGTTGGGCACTGAGGACCCGAAGAGGAACAGGGACAAGCAAGGGATTGGTTGGAGACGTGGTGACTTACAGCCTGTGGGGGCCTTTTCGGGAAAAGTGGGGCTTGATCAGCAAGGCAAGACAGTGCAAACTGCGCCATCACCAGAGACAAGTACAGGTAGGCTGACAGGTGGCGGAAGGGGTCGCTCTGGAAATCCTGCGGGAGAGAACACAGAAGTCTCGCTGAGTCGGGGCTTAGGAGGAGCAGAGACTGGGGAGGGTGTCAGGAAGGGAAGAAGGGGTGGAGGCGGAACGGGGTTTCTGATGCTGGGAGCGGTGCCCAGGCTGGGGGCTGGAGTCACCAGGTTTGAAAGTCAGAGCCCCCAGCCTTCCTGGCCTTGAAAACACCTGGCTTACACAGATTCTGTCCAGACAAATGGCAGGCAGGGTCCATGCCTTTCGTTAGGTGACACTGGCCTTAGCCACCAGGACACAAATTGGACACTCTGTCTTTCTCCCTGGGCAGCAAAGGAGCCCCACCCCCCAATCTCCCATCCCACTCCCCCTGGCCAGTGATCTCTGGTTTAAGAAGGGAGCTGATTCATGTCAGTGTATGGCAAAAACCACTACAATATGTAAAGCAATTAGCCTCCATCTAATAAAAATAAATGAAAAAAAAAAAAAGAAGGGAGCTGGCTTCAGGGAGCATTCACTCTGCCTCAGGCACACGCTGGAGTCTTTACAAACAGTCTCGTCCAGTCCCTCCCCACCCTGCCCCAGCTGGGGTTTACTTGCTCTGTTAGTCACTGGGAAACCAAGGCTCAGAGAAGCAACAGCACCTTGTTCAAGGTCACACAAATGATCTGCTCCAGATCACGCGCTTTTCCGCCCTGCCATGATTGCTTTTGTATCCCCTGCCCTTTCTGGCCAGAGCACCCTAACTTTTCCCCCCATGTTCAGGTATGAGGTTTACGTAGAGCTGATTCCATCCCAGGGGGTCGGGGGGCAGGCAGATGATGGAGGCCTGACCAGTGAGCACGTTCTAGTCCTTGGCTACCATGCCTGGGCTCGGAATGGACACAGAACCTACACTGGACCAACGAGAGCTGGAACCATTGGGAGATCTTCCAGGTTTGCTCTATTTGTGGAACAAAAGCCTGGAATAATGGGGCTCCCCTTGCCATCCCATTGGAGAGTGAAGCCAAGAGCGGAGAACCAAGGGACAGATGGAAATGGAGCTCTGGCTGTGTTCTCTGAATGTCTGGGCCAGCTATGCCTCCTAGCAGGTCCCAGGTATGTGAGCTAATAGATGCCCCTGGACTTTTTCCCCTTAAGCCAGTGTGAACTGAGTTTTTATGTTTTTAAACAAGAGCCTAAGTTTCACATCACAATTTCTCTATTGGATTTTTTACTTCTCTGTTTTTGGTTTGGTTTTGGGGGGCAGATAGTAGACAATTTGATAGTGCAGCTACATTACTCCCCATAGTGTCATTTTTACTGTTGTTTCTGTCGGAAAGTTTGTCCTGAATTTGGGTGAGATGGACTTTGGCTCTGCAGTCCCGAGAGGAAGTCGTTCACTTCTCTAAACCTTAGGTTTCCTCATCTTTAAAATGGGATCATTCAGATCTTCACTGAATTCATGAGCTTGCCATAGAGCCTCGTACACGGAGCTCCAGAGCATATATGGTCCCAATATTATTCTTTCTGTGCTGTGTTCCAAACAGCTAACTGGTAAGTCAATTGTGGGAAGCTACCCTCTCATAAATCAGTGATGGTGGGGGGGGGGGGGGGCTATTCCCATTAGTTACAAAAGTTGCTTTGTTAAAAATCTGTCCTTAAGGACAGAAAGTGTTTCTCTGCCTTCTTTCAGGAGCTGGAGGGAGTAACCATGTGAAATGATGACCAGCAGACTCTGATCAGTTTCCTGATCATACATCTTGGGTGAGCGTGCCAGCCATGCAAGTGGTTTTCAACTGGGGGTGACTTTGCCCCCAGGGGACATTTACCATTATCAGGAGACATGTCAGGTTGCCGTAATGGGGTGGTACTATTGGCATCCAGTGGGTGGAGACCAGGGATGCTATTCAACATCCCACAACACATGGGACAGCTCCTCCCAGCCCCCACCCAAAAAAGAAGTAGGTAAAGGGTGCTGAGGTTGTAAAACCCTGGCCAAGGTTATAGATTTTTCTCTTTGCAGATCATGCACCCTAATGTGGAAATATAGGTGAGTGTGCAAAGTGAGTGTGTAAATACAGATGCATGAGAGCACAGGTGAAGGTGGAGAATGAGGGGAGACATGCAATGTGGAGTCAGAATGAACACAGGTGTGTGCCGGAGGAGGTCATCCAGAGGACGTGACCCCTGGCTGACCTATGAGCCGGACCCAGAGGCTCCTCACCCCCACTCACCACCCCTGTCCTTGAAGTGTGCATTCTGGCCACACTGTTCCTGCACTAGTAACTACTTCAAGGATGCCACCTTGAAAGAGCAATGTGTTGATGAGATCCACTGGATGGTACATATGACTGAACCCTGTTAAAACCCCTATAAACTGTTCAGTTCCTGCCGGGCAAGTGTGGAGATCAATGTATTTTGCAGCAGCCAAGACAGGCATCGTATACAAGTCCCCTTGCTTATGAAAACCGTCACCTACCAACTGCAGTGGCGGCCTGTTTCTTTGGTCTCTCTTGGCCCTCCAGGTCTGGGGTTGGTTTCTAACCTCACCAGGGAACCCCTGAGGTTTTGAACCAACAGTGTGTCGATGCCCATGCAGTGTGTATATATGTGTGTGTGGGGGGGTATGAGTGTGGGACATTTGTGCACAAGTCCTGTACTGAAGCTTGAAAGCACAGACACAACTGGGTGGCAGCAAGTGTGAGTGCAGGCGAGTGTGTGTGCGTGTGTGTGTGTGTGATGTTTTGGAGTCTGTGGTTGTGTGATACATGAATGAAAAAAAGTGAAGTGAAAAGTGTTAGTTGCTCACTGGTGTCCAGTGCTTCGCGACTCCATAGACTGTAGCCCACCAGGTTCCTTGGTCCATGGAATTCTCCAGGCAAGAATACTGGAGTGGGTTGCCATTTCCTTCTCTGAGGGACCTTCCCGACCCAGGGGTTGAACCTAGGTCTCCTGCATTGCAGGCAGATTCTTGACCATCTGACCCACCAGGGAAGCCCAGTGGGTGAATGGGGGCATACACGTGTGTGCAAGTGAAGTGTGTGACTTGAGTGTGTAAGACAATAAGAATTTGTGTTGATAAAAAGGTATGGGGTGATGAGAGCTTCTATGTGAAATGCCTGTGTGTGTTGCTTGAGTTTCAGGGCTTGTGGAGTGTGTTTCTCTGCAGAGAGAATAAGCCGTGGTGGAAGCGGGAGGAGGATGGATGGGACCCAGGGCCTGAAACCACCATACTGGTTTCCGGGTGACCCAGGCCCCCACTTACCCCTTGCGAGGCCTGCTGGGTGGCGCTGGTGGCTGGGAAGAGAAAGCAGAGTAGCCAGTACCCGAAGAGCACCCCAGACGCCTGGACGCCCTTCTTCCTCTCGGCATGGATCAGGAACATGGCGAAGCTCTGGACAAGAGGGTTGGGTGGGAGGTGGGCTGGGGGTGGGGGAGGCTGGGGGAGGAGAGGGTCGGGAGGGAGCCCCCTCTGCCCCCCACCTCCACCAGGGCAGCAAAAGCTGCAGCCAGGAGCCGGCCAGCAGGTCTGGGGCGTGACTCACCATTGTGGTGAGCCAGACGGTGGGGTGTATGAGGAACTCAAGGGCCTGGGGCGTTCCCTGCTGGATTCTCCAAAGAGTCACAGACACGCTGGAGATGCACAGGATTACCAGGGCGAACCCAAGCACCTGGGGAAACGGGCCAGGATAAGGCTGGTGGGGGAAAGAAAGATGGCGGCCAACCGGCCAGGGGCTCCACGTCCAACTGGACAGTGGCCCCGGGTGGGGCACTGTGATGTACCAGCATGACCACTGAACAGGGCCGACGTGAAAGAAGACAGCTGTAAGGAGTGATGCAGCTCAAGCTTGATCTGTAACTGTCACATAAATAATGCACCCTACAAATAACATCAGTGGTTTCCAACACACCAGTGGTGCTCCCACAATGCACGGGAGGATGCTTCGGGGATGAAGGAACCGCATGAAAAGCTATTGACTCTCCAGGTGAAAAAGTTACACCCTCTTTAAGTCTCTTTCCATCCCTACTGTTAAATCAAGGAGGAACTGTCTGTTGGGACTGATGCGTTTCCAGGCCTTCTTTGACCGAGCTGCCATCGGTCAAATCGGTCTCTCTTTTGGACAAGAGACATCAGGAAGGGGAGAGAGCATGCACAGGCAGACCTGGGAGCCTCGGAGAAACCACCAAACGTGTCAGTCAGTCTCAAGCAGGAGTCAAAACTACCACCTGCGTGCGGTCTGCGTTTGGCCTCTTGTCTGTTGTTGTATCACCTCGGAACTAAGAGTGGGTTTCCCACTGTTCACTCACTGAACAAAACTTTAAAAAGCCTAATACGCCATGATGTGAAATTGATATCAAATGCAAATTTCTGTAACTATAAATAAAGTTTTACTGAAACAGTGGTATCTACTTGTTTACTGTTTGCTGTCTGTAGCTGCTTTACTGATGCAAGAGCAGAACTGAGAAGTTGAGGCAGAGACCACATGATGCTTGGAATCTCAGCCTCTATGGCCCTTTAAGGAAGAGTGTGCTGACCCTGGAGAGGTGGTTGGCAAGAGGTCAAACATTTACAAGGTGGTGTGGGAATAAATGAACCATGGAGGGCGTGCTCCTAGAGGTTTGGAGAACAGGAGAAGGAGCAGAGACGCTCACATTTGGAATGCCAGTGTTTTTCTAACACTGGACAACAACGACGCACCAATTTTAAGGACTGTTCTTTAGTACCGTGGATGGGGGAGGGGACACAAAAATCAATGCCTAAGTGTCAACATTTAAAAGGTGCATCCTGGTGTGGCTCTAAAATCACCATGTGCATCTCAGGAGTGTACACCGCACACTTTGGGGAATGCCAGGCTAAATGGCCATCAACTTGTCTGGGCGTGTGGGTGTCTGTGGGTGTGTTTGTGATATACTGTTTTTATTATCTGCAATGGTCGGTCTGAGAGCGTCTATGCCACTGAGTTTCCCTCTGCAGCCTCTGGGGTATTGTTCTATTTGATTAACAGGGTCCCATGCGTCCACTTTGGGGTCTCTGCCTGATTCCAGCCTGCTCCCCCACCCCTGACCATTGTCTGACTACAGGCTCCCAGAGGAAGGGGCTACCATCTTGGCCTTGAAGAGGCGGGACATCTGGATGTAGCCCTTGTTATGGCGGTGGATGTAGAGGAGGTGGATGGGGCCAAGGACCCAGAGGTACATGGGGGGCACCCAGACCCCTGCCGTTTTCAGGAAGCACAGACTCAGCAGGCGGGCAGCGACAGGCTCGGGCTCCGTCTGGTTCCAGACCTGAGGGAACACCAGGGTGACCCTTATGATGGTACAATGCAGGGGTCCCAAACTCACCACTTGGGGGGCCAAGAAACTCTTTGGACCCCCAATATTTACATGGAAAATGTGCTAAGCACATTTTGTTGTTGTTTGGTCACTGAGTCACGTGAAACTCTGTGCAACCCCATGGACTGCAGCACGCCAGGCTTCCCTGTCCTTCACTATCTCCCAGAGTTAGCGCAAACTCGTGTCCATTGAGTCGGTGATGCCATGCAACCATCTCATCCTCTGTCGTCCCTAGAGTACTTCATAATTGAGTAACTCCAGTGACCTCACCCAACTGGACAGGGGTGGTGCTGGGATTTGAGCCAAGGCAGTTGGGTCCTAGAATCTAGGACACCTGGGATCTGTGATGAGTGCTGGGCACAGACTTAAAACCACTCTGTTGTTGTTTGGCCGCTAAGTCGTGTCTGACTTTGCGACCCCATGGACTGTAGCCCGCCAGGCTGCTCTGTCCATGGGATTCTCCAGGCAAGAATTCCGGAGTGGATAGCCATTCCCTTCTCCAGCAGATCTTCCCAACCCAGGGATCGAACTCATGTCTCCTGCATTGGCAGGCGGATTCTTTACCACTAAGCCACCAGGCAAGCCCTATAACCCACTCTAGGAGGTAGGTATTACTGTTCCCATTTCATAGACCAGCAAACTCACAAAATGGGAAGGGAACAGCTTCTTTTAGGCCCACACAAATAGGAAGGGACAGAGCTGACTCCACGCTGGCCTGGTTAACCCCAAAGCTTATTCTACTAGAGGTCGCCATCTGTACTTCTTTCGTCAGATCTGCTGCTGGCCTTTCCTAACCAGAGAAGTGTGAAGGTGAATTTCAGAAGACACAGTTGCTTTAATTCTCTCGCTGCTACACCACTGACACCCTCCCACTAGAGTCCTTTGCTGAGGCAAGAACCAGAGACGTGGGGAGTCCTGTAGCTGGGGGATCTAGAGACCCCTTTAACAGGGTTGGTCTCTTTGGGGAACAGCTTGGTTAAGGAGATCGCCCAGTCCTGCTGTTAGTCTGGCAGGTCTGTCCCTCCCGGGGGTCCGCCCCTCCCCTGTATCCCAGTCCGAGAGAGATCTGTTCAAGAGATCTTTCGAGACAGCCGGAGAAGGACAGTGCAGCGGGGTGGGGATACTCACCCCCGGGCCCGCGCAGGGCTCGCCTGGCCCGGCCATCGGGCGCCGTCCGTCTGTTCGTCTGTCTGTCGGTGGGTCCCTGGACGGCTTCCTCGGCCGCGTTCCGGCCTGGGGAAGGGGCGGGGATTCGAGCTCGCGGATGGCTAGGCCGGGGGCAAGGTCCGGCCGGGCGGCGGGGGTGGGGCGCGGAGGGGGGGAAGCGAGGCGAGGTGGACGGGCGCTCAGGGTGGCCGCCCAGGGCAGCGAGGGAGGGGGTCCCGGAGCCGAAGAAAGTGCGGTGACGTCTGCATATAATCCCCTCTCCCCCTGCCGCAAGTGTTATTCCGAACTTCCCGAAATCTGTGGATCAGCAATTCCAGGAATTTATCTAGATAAACGAACCCAACAGGTGTGCACAAGTCCAGCGACCTGCGGAATGGGGGATGGGAGGACCCCGGGTTAAGGTTGGAACCGCAGCCCCCTCACCTGTGAGACCGACCCTGTTTGCCTCTAGGATGGTGGGAAGATTTTAAGAAGATTACTAATAAAACGTCTAGCAGAGTGTTCGGCACACTGTAAATGTTCAATCAGAATTAACTTTTATTAGCATTCGTAGTATTATTTCATCCTTAGGTTACTGAGAAGTATTGCAAAGTGCCACTGAAGAAGTAGGTTTAATACGGAAATATGGTTACTGAATGCTAAGCGAGGAAAAAAAAAGATTATAATACAAAATAGTTTACGATATGTGTGCAAAGAAAAAAAATAGTATATGCTTAACTTAGGGAAAGTGGGAAATGAAGTCAAGTCATTTACCTTTTTCTTCTGGGTCTTAAAGCGAGGTGTACCCCTAGCCACAGGTTCTTTTGGGAAATGACTTTTAACATATATGTATAGACAAAAAGATGGCAATGCACTAAAGCAGTGGTCGTGGGACTCCTAATTTTCTTTTCTTTTTCTTTCCTTTCCCTTTTCTATTTTCCATCCTTTGCAATGACCATGTATTCTCTTTCAAGACAGGAATAAAAGACTGAGCTTTTTCAGACAGACAAGAACAGGTGCTCAGTTTGAATGAAGAATTCAAATCCTTTGCATCTCCAGGCTGCACTGCTACTTCGGTGTCTTCCTTTCTCTTGCCTTTTTCAGGGCCTCCACGGGCTCCCTGGTCTTTTCTCCCCTTTCTTTCCTGAGATTCCCCAACCCTCTTCTTGGGTCCTGGCAGCATGCTTTCAGCTGTCTTCCTGCCTGGGTCTTCTGGAAGAGCAGGGACGCAAAAACTCACGAATTTTTCTTGAAGCTGAGTGTGGCAGGTCAGCTGTTTATATTCTGATCATCTTTGTTTATTTGAGGTAGTTTTAGTGAAGGCTGATGGAAATTGCGGGGTGGCTTGAGCACCCCCCCCATCCCCAAAATCCCCATTACAACTGGCGTTGCCACGGTCCTAGTGCTTTATTTCTTTATATATAAAGATGAGTTTGAGCGAATGATGAAGGTTTGAGGGGGGATGGTCAGGAAAGCATGAAGCATACAGAGGAAATCAGCCAGGTGAGCCAAGAACAGAACTCAGATATCCCAGAGCCTACTTTCCAGCTCTCTGAACTCATCTCATGGATGAGTGCTGAGCCCTGATGGTGCTGGTTTAGTCGCTAAGTCATGTCTGACTATTGCAACCCCATGGATTGTAGCCCGTCAGGCTCCTCTGTCCATGGGATTTCTCTGGCAAGAATACTGGAGTGGGTTGACATTTCCTTCTCTAGGGGATCTTTCTGACCCAAAGATAGAACCCAGGTCTCCTGCATTGCAGGCAGATACTTTATTGACTGAACCATCAGGGAAGCCCCCAACCCTAGATAAATCCCCGTCTCTCTCTGGGCCTTGGTTTCTCATCTGTAAAGTACGATGATTCCATAGGTCAAGCACTTCCTGGTTGATGACTTTCAGTCCCCTGGTGGTTTGCTAAGACAAACCAGGGAATTATGTTAGGAAACATAAATGGAAACATTTGTTTTAATTGTAATGATAAGTAGTGAACTTCCAAAAAATAAACAATTACTTAAATGGTTTCTCTTTATAATCAAACAGTTGAGAGTCTCACTGTATTTGGAATGAGAATGAAGAGTGAGAGAAATCAGATGTGCTTGTGGCTGAAATCCTCTAGTGGATGTATCCTTCCATTATAGCCACTGTGTAGTATAAAATCATTGTGATTCATATTGTGTAGTGCTTGACTCTTAACCATAGTGGCAGATTTCAGTGGGAAATCTCTTTACTTCATCATTTAGGATCAAGGTATAAAAACTATCAAAATAAAAGCACTTGATTTTCTTAAGGAGTGAAATGGAAGAATTTCAAATATCTGGTTGGAAGAGCAGTTTTTGTCTATTTTGATATGGTGACTTGTAGTTCATCTACATTATGGTATACATTCAGTCTTGAGACAAAATATAACATGCTGATTTTTGAACTGATTTTCAGACAGATGCTTTCAGATGATTTTCATGCATCGCCTCACAGAGCTGGTTCAAAGTAAGTCAAACTGCATGCATCTCTTGCTTCCTGGGGAAAAACCCTCAAAGTTTGTTTCTATAAAAATGTTACTAGAGGTGGGATTAAATAAAATTTAAATATCTTTAAATATTATGCTGAGCTTAAATGACATGTTTTGCTTTAAAAAAAAAAGCTAATTGATCATTTATCATGGAAAGTTACACCAATCGACACAAATCCCTAAAAGGGGTTTGAGATTATACATCACTTGTGAAACTTTTGGGTCAAATTGATTCGGGAAATTTGTTGGGATACTTCGATCAATAGTCTCTCGTCATTTCCAGTTTCAGTGCTATTAAATTCCACAGTAAGGGATTTGGAATTCCAAATTCCTAATTCCAAACTATGAAACTACGAAATTCCACTTTGCAGTTTATACCTGTAAACTTTGCAGTTTATACCTGCAGTTTATACCCGCACCTTGCAACCGCACTTGCCAGACGGTGCGCGGAGTCCTCCTGGCCTCCAGAGGGCACCAATGGTTTACTTCCGTTGCTGAGCTTGCACCGTAGTTATTTTGGCCGGGGGCATGGCCGTGGGGGCCGGACGCGCATGCGCGGTCGCGGCGGGGGCGGGGACTGGGCTGTCAGTTGCCCGCAGAGGAGGAAGCCGGCGGCAGCGTGCGGGGTGAGGGGCGGGACCCGGAGGCCTGCGGAGGTTCAGGGTGCAGAGGCCCGGCCATGCGGGGGTGCCGCGCTACGGGGCCGCCCGGGTTGGCGGTGGTGGCCGCCACTGTGCTGCTTCTGCTGAGCGGGGTAGAGCCGGCGCGCGCCTCCGAGGACATCGTGGTGGGTTGCGGGGGCTTCGTCAAGTCGGACGTGGAGATCAACTACTCGCTCATTGAGGTGAGTGCCCGCCCCGCGGCCCGGAGCTCGGTGTGTGACCCGGGGCCAGGCGCACAGCCTTGCTGAGCCTCGGTGGCCTCGCCTCCCAGGCGGTTGCCACCAGCCCTCCCCGCAACTCCCCGCATTCTGGGAGCCCTTTCCTCTTCAGAAGCTCTGCTCTCTGCGGGCCCTCCGCTCGTCTCCTCCCCAGTAGCGCTGGGGTGGGGGTTCTTCTTATCTTGGGGTCAGCTACGGGGTGGGGGGGGGCGCGGAGCTCTGAAGGTGTGTGCATATGGGTGTGAAGGACATTTCTGGTGACGATGATAATGGTTTATAACTTTAGTTAGGTCAGACAAAACTAAGGATCCTCCAGATCGAGACCCCAGATACTTCAGAAGGCAAACTCCAGATCCCCACAATGCAGGCCCCAGGTCTCTTAAAACCCAGTCTCAGCAGAACGCAGACCCTAGATCCTCAAACCCCCAGAAACCCAGACCTGCTGAAACTCAAATTTCCTGAAACATATATTCCAGAATCTAAAGACCGCAACGCTTAACCCCCACAACACTGAGTTCCCCCCAAATTCTAATCTACCATTCCTCCTACCCTCTGGGAAGCTTTAAAAGAGCATGAATTCTCATCCCAGAGATCATGACCCAGTTACTGTCTATTGGCATCTCTGGGCCTGGGAAACTATTTTTAATCTCCCTGGTTCCCCCATTGGGACCCTTTTCCTCCCATAATGAAGAGTTGTCAGCGCCCTGATTGCTGGGTAGTTATTGGAATTACACAAGAGATTTCTGTAGAAGTCTTTTTTATTAAGTTGCAAAGCTCTCTTCAGTTAGATAGTTATTATCCCAGTGGAATTATGACCCATAAAGCTTTTGTGAAGAGGAAAGGAGATAGATGGAGGTGGGCATAGAAAATTACTTGCAGGACAGATAGGAAGGGACCCCAGGGAGGGCTGGCCTCTATTTTAGGAGGGTAGTTACTGATGATGAATCCAAAGAAGGGAATTTGAGAGGGAGAAAAGAAAGACACTGGGAGATGCCAAAGAGGAGGGAGTGGGGACCAAGACCCCAAAGGCAGTCTGCCTGAGCAGCTGGAGGGCTGTGGTGAAGAGTTGAACCAGCGTGTTCCTACAAAGCAGGTTCCTGAGAATTGGGGGAGGGATCGGAAGTAGATTCTACAGCTCTTTGACCTAGCCTTGCTCCAAGTCCCAATTTTTGTTCCTGTAGCATAGGGTTGGGAGAGAGACCGCAGAGCCCAGCATCATATATTTCCCGAAGAAGTTACTCATCACCTTCAAGACCCTTGTATCTGTGGCTTCTCCATCATTTTTGGTCTTAAGAGGTCAGGCATGGGACTTCCTTGGAGGTCTGATGGTTAAGAGCTCACCTTTCAATGCAGGGGGTTTAATCCCTGGTCAGGGAACTAAGATCCCACACACCCAGTGGGAAATAAATAACCAGAACATAAATGGTAGAAGCAATATTGTAACAAATTCAATAACGACTTTAAAAATGGTCCACATCAGAAAAAAAATATATATATATATATAAAAAGAAGTCAAGTGTTTAATGAATCTACCCACTGGCAGTGGCAAGGCTTCTGGGATCTCTGGGGGCCATGCCACCTCCTAGGCTGTGGGCTCAGGGCATTCCAGAAGCTGTCTTGAAAAGCTTTGCA